GGCGGACAGCGAGAGCGCGGCTCCAATTCACCAGTGCAATGATCCCGTGATGGTGGCGGAAATGTGGGAAATGGTTTCAATCATGGAGGAGAAGAACCCGGATGACACAGCCAGGCTGTTTCCCGTGTTGCGCCGCCTCAGTCTCTCCCTCTCCGCGTGCTCTCCTCTCGTCCTCCGCTTCGTCGCCTGCCTCTCCTCACAGCTTCACTCTCTTCATCTCGCGGCTGACGATCAGTTCGCGGCACAGGAGGTCGAAGAGGGCGCTGTAAGCGGCGAGAACGCGCGAGAGAGGGACGTGGACGGACGAACGTCCTTCTCACTTGACCTCCCGGCAGCCACTGACGTCAGACTCAACGGGCTCAACTGCTCTATCTCGCTTTCCGCACCTCGTCTCTCCGACCTCGGTTTTGAATGGCAGTCCCGCGATTCCCGCCTGCTCCTGCTCCCCACCTGCCCCGGGCACCTGACATCTCTCTTCCTTAGCACCGACCCGACCTGTCCCTGGGCGTTTCACGCGCCTCACCTCACCTCGCTTCACTCCCTCCGCACCGACATGGATGCAGAGCAGGCGTCATTCCTCCCGGCGGGTGCGCTTGAGACTGTCAAGGCCCTTGACTGGAGGAACGTTGGGGATTCGGTGGACCTGAGTGCTTGGCACAGCCTGCGTTGTTTCCACGCTGTGGACTGCCCCCCTGTATCTCTGTCGGTGCTTCGCTCCAGTGTGCTCTGGCCTTGTAGCTTGGAGGGGTTGTTTATCACCAGCATTGGGAGTGACGTTGTGGAATTTCTAGAGAGTGAACTGAGGGGGGTCGATGCGGGAGGAAGCTTGGGAAGGAGGCATGGAGGGCATCGCTCGTCAAGAAGCCGAGGTGAGATAGGCTTGGAATCAGGAGGTGGTTTGATGTTGGGGGTGGAACGCGGGCATGTGGAGGCTGGAATTGGGAACGAGGACGAATCGAATGGGAGGAATTTGTTGGCTCGACTGCTACCCGGGTGTGAAAGCATGCAGCGGTTTGAAGGGTGGGACGATGCTGAATGTGTGCTGTATAGGTTGGATGCTGCTGAAGGGCTGAGCAGGGAAGTGGGAGAACAAGGAGATGGTTTGACCAAGACTTTTCATAACAGAAGGTTGTTTATGAAAGAAATAGGGATAAAGGTGGATTAGGTGCACTGAACTTCCTGCATGCAATCTATAACATCATGTTGGTGGTCAAAGTTTTTGAATGTAGCTGGGAATGCTTGACAATATTTGGAATTAAATATGATTTCCTTGAATGTAGCACGGTTTGGTTTGGACAAGGGGTCTCGCCAGCGTCTCGCCACTTCACACCACTCCGAAACACATGAATTTACTCCCAAACCGAGCTACTCCACCCCTTCCATGTCCGCAGCATTTATCTATTTCTCCGTTCCAGCACCAGAGGGACATAAGTTGCTGGTCGCGTTTTAGCAGCCGTCGAGCACGCCAGGCGAGATTGACTGTGGCCTCCACTGATGCATAGAGACTCTTTTCCGCCCGATGCATCTTAGCATCTGTCGCATCCGTCGCGTCGGTCTCGTCTGCGTAATCAGTCCAGTCAATTATTCCTGTGGCTTCCGCTTCACCGCACACCGTGTCGCTTCACACCTTGTTTCACCTCCTCTGTTGGAGGCTCAGCCCGTTCGCCGTCCTAGCATCAAGTTCACAAGGTCAATCAATAACAGCAGAGGCTCCTAGTGTATTGGTCTTAGTAAGGCGTAGGAGAGAGTCGAGGGGCGGGGAGCAGCAGCTGCGCAGCGACATGTGGCCGTTCGGCAATCCCGAGAGGCTGCAAGGTGGGCGGAGGGAGGGGTGTGGGAAGGAGAGGAGAGGTGCGAAAACGCGAGCCATATATACAGTCAGGGGTATCAACCTCGGGAATACCATCATCATGCCTCACGAGCGACTCCGTCGTCATTTGCTGCTGTCATTTCCCTCCCCTCCTTATTCTCCCCTTCCCTTACCAGCGTCCATACCACCTTTGGCGTTGTCTTGCAAGCGCTCCTAGTAACCACAGTTGGTTCCAGGATCCTCCCCTTGCCAGTCATCCCACCGCTCCTCACTGCACTTTTACCTTCCGCACGCACCTTCCATTGATCCGCCACAGCCCTGCCTCTACGCCATGAGGGGGGGAGGTCCTACTACGACGTGCAGCCTGGCGACAACCTGACAAAGATTGCCGGCCAGCTGGGAAGCACTGTGGAAATCCTCATGCAGGTGACGACGTGCTGGTCCATTGGTGTAGAGAAGACGGAGTGCTTGCAACGCGGAATCTCTGCTTTTTGCCACTTCACCATGTCCGATGCTTGTTTTTTTTTGTCAGATGTATTGCTCCCATGAGTGTGCTCCCATGAGTGTGCTCACCGTTATTGCTCCCATGGAGTGCTGGCAGGCCAATGCACTCCGCTCAGACCTCTTGCACCCCGGCCAGAGCCTCTGGGTTCCACGCACATACACCATCGCAAAGGTGTGTTCCGCGCACATACACCCTTGAAAAGGTTTGCTCTGCACGCGCATGAGCAATGCAAGTGGTATGTGCTTTTCACACACTGTATTCTGCATACCTTGGCTTTGATGTTCACAGCCGTAGTTCAGCTATGGTGTCAGAAACTGTCTCTCACATTACATGGTGACCCTACGGCTGTGAATATGGAACTGTGCACGTGCAGGGTGACACTCTGTATGCCATAGCGCGTATGCATGGAACAACAGTGGATGCGATTATGCAGATCAACAACATTCAAGATGCAAACTTGATTCATACAGGTGAAGTATCATCGGATCACTTGCCCCGCCTGTTCCCCTCTTCCTGTGCCTTTTTATACCTCTGGCTCCTTTGACGATGAATTTATTGGTGTGGCGTTCATTGCAGGTGACATCATTTTGCTACCATAGAAGAGTTTTGTGTTTTTTTCTTAGGCATTTGTGACGATTGTAAATAGTAGATTATTCCAATTTTGGGATCATTACTTCACAATCACTAAGTGATGAAATGACGTGGCTGTGAACAGTTTCTTGGTGCTTAACCTGGTGTTGGTGCCTGTGTTTCTTATACCGGTGTAAAGTAGACTCATTTCTCAATGGCTTAGAAATGCAGTGTACCGTACGTCCAGCTCCTGAACGCAAGCTGTTGAGAGGACCCCGAAAGGGGTACAAGATGGAGTTCGTGAGCTGCTTTTGGTTCAGAGACCTCACCCCAGTCACGCACTGGACCTTGCCGACCCTTGATTCGTCCCCACAATCATCTGTAACGTGGCTATGGGGCCAAAGCTGATGAGTGCGAGGTTCGGTGATATGCGATGGTTATTGTTTTTCAGTTGTGGAATGCCTGAACAAATCTGTGCATCCGAAACAAACCCCTACTTTTCTAATATAGGACCCACTATGGACAGGTTGTGAACTCGAATGGGTGTTGACCAGAACCTGGAGCTAATCGATAAGATTTTCCCCAAGTTTTGAGGTACCGCCGGAAAGGTTTTCCTGTGGTCATGATTTGAGCCAGAGTAGTTTTGTCGCCTGAAGCCGGAGCTGGCAGTGGATTTGCTGCAATGTACTCAGCTTCGGCAAAGTCGACGTGGAATCCCGCCGCTGTTTCGGATTTGGCATAAAGGCAATCACCAGTCTTATGCAGCCACGTAATGTGACAACTAGGAGGTTGGTGTTTCCGAAGCTAAACTCCCCCAAAAATTGCGCAAGCATTCGGGCAGCACGTATGAAACTGCACCTGTTTCTTCCTCGCTGTTTTTGGGTTCGAAGTTTGAACTGACCAAACCTGACCCAAGCAGCTGCCCCGCTGCATGCGATTCGCAACAAAGTCAGACAAGGATGCTGCTGGACTTGCGTCGGCCTCCGCTGGCCCAAGCCCAAGTGACGGGAGAGTGTCTCCCTGGGCTCCACTTTTCGAGTGTGGAGGGAGCGAGGCGATTTGGTGCCGCTGACGGGACTGCGGCAATCCCGAGGCATCAGGGCACTCTCCCTTCTCTCGAGTTCCCATTTCTGCTTCCCGCCACGCCGAGACAAATAGGTAGCGTGTGGTAAGCTCTCAGGCGCAAGCCGCGCTGAGCCAGTCATTGGCCACGCCAACAACGCACAACACAAGGTCGCTGAACCAGGGAAAGGAGTTCTCGAAATAATTTAGGCCTTGTAAATGCTCCTCGTGCGCTACGAGACAATGCTTCATTCGTATCATCGCCAATATTTCAGACTGGCAACTTTCGGGTCGCAACGTGGCACTGTTTATTGTCGTTGCTCTGAAATTCGACCTAGTCTTAGAAAGCGTCCTTGTTCCAGCTTAGGATTACCCAGGCGTGCACGCTCGAGCTCGCAACTTACGCTTCGACGTCGACTCGAGTAAGTGCACCTTGCTGACGGGACGAAGCAAGCACGACCATCTAGCCTTCCTGCTGTACCTACTAGGTTCCTGCTTGCCGTCATCCGCGCAGATTGCGTCTCCGTTATCCCTGGTACACGTCATATACTCCGATATCGTGAGGTATTTCGACACTTAGGTATTTTCTGCTGTGCATGACTCTCTGCGTTTGTTATCGGCTTCTCAAGATTCCACCTAACCCTAACTAGCCGTCGACTGTGCCTTGCCTTCCCTCCGACCGCGTAATCCTCGTCCCAATAGTCTGTTTCTCGTCAACCGCCATACGCGGGTCGTCAGCTCGGTCAGCTTTCCGCAATCGTTGGTCTTTCCCGTTCCTGCCACACGCGTGTTGCACTTGCCCCTTTCAATTTCCTCGCCAGCCGCCGCCACGCGTCGCTGCGACATCCAGACTAGCTGGTCAAACAGGCTCTCGACCCCGTGGTTGTCATCTCACGCTTTCGTACTTACCGCTTCCCAGTAGCCAGCCGCTCACCTTGGCGTAGCATAGCTCTGTGACTTCAGGGAGAAAGAAGCTGAGGCGAGGCAGTGATGTCAGGGTCAGGGCATGTGTGCTGATGTCAGCGGTGCAGCGACGGGGACAGGCCACGCGTCATGGAAATGGCCCTTCCGGTAGCGTCTGGAGCCAATCAGCAACCGCTCCTGCCGCCGCAGACGCTGCAGAATCAGCACCAGCGCCAGCCAATCAGGAAGAAGATGTCAAGAGACCGAGGCGCGAGGTTGTCTGAAGAGAGAGCGGTGGGGAGCGGCGGAGAGGGGTGCGCGGCGGTGCTTAGGCAGCCGCGGGAGCAGCGAGGCCAGGAGCCCGCGGGCGAAGGTTTGAGGCAGCGCGAGGATTGGTTTGGGGAGATGGCGCCGGCTGTAGCAGGGGACGTGATGTTAGAGGGGGTGAATTTAGCGGAGAGTGGTTGCGGTGACGGTGGGGAAGCGAGGAGCATGGAAATAAAGGAGGAGGAGCAGGAGTGGGTGGTGGGGGAAGGGGAAGAGGGGAAGGAAGGGGAGGAGCGGGAGGAGGCGGGAGATAACAGTAGGCAGAAGCAGGTGCAGGAAGAAATGGAAGAGGAGGGGAGAGTGAAGCAGGAGCAGGGGCTGTCGAGCACAGGTGGTCAGAATCAGCAGGGGGAAATTGCTGAGGCGAGCAGACACGTGCAGGATGGCACGCACGTGGTTGCGTTGGAGGGCGAATGGGGCGAGGGCGACGGCGAGCAGGTTGTGTACAGGCTGTGCAGGGTGGACCCGGTTGACCCCGTTGACTCCGTTGACTCCGTTGACTTTCTTGACGCCGTGCCCATATCGGAGCGCGAGCTGGAGGAGCTCCAGGCGTGGATGCTCCGCCATGCGCCCGACGCGCTCGCCCTGCCCCTGCCGCCCGGGGCGCTGGGGGCTGCGGGGGAGGCGGACATGGCGGAATGGCCATTGGGGGAAGGATTAGGGTTGGCGGAGGAAGGCGGCGCGGACGAGCCCCCCCTGCCGTCGCCGCCTCTTCTCTGGCGGAGCGGGGAGGTGGGAGTGATAGGAACTGGGCAGCCACGTGGCAGGTCGCTATTGGCCAGAGGGCAGGCACGAGGGGAAGGGCGGATAGGGAGAGGCGTGAAGGCGGAACTAGGGTTCGGGCTGGATGACGCGAAGAGTGGGCGGGACGGCCGCTCGAGTCAATCGAATCCCCGTGGGGCTGTTAACGGAGTGCTTGCTCCGGCAGCCAATGAGACGAGGACAGGTGTGCACGCGCGTCAAGAGTTTCTGGATTTTCTCCTGACGGAGATTTCGCACCACGAGCTCGCAGTGGGGCAGAGTAGTGCAACCCCCCAACACCATCCCCGCGCCGACCTCTCCGCCCCCGACTCTCTCCCCCCTCCGCTTCCCCCATCCCACCATCCAGCCCATGATCAGCACCATCCCCCCTTCCTCTCCGCCCCGCGCTCCTTTCCCGCTCATGGGCGGGTGGGGCGGCCAAGGGGATCTCTGGGCGGGGTGCGGGGGAGGAGGGGGAGAGGGAGGGGCGTGGGAATGGCTCGGCGCGCTGCTGACGGGGACGCGTTGGGGACGCACACTGCAGCCGGCGCAATAGTTATGGGGGCGGGGGAGGAGCAAGGGGCGGATGGCGGAGCACAGGGGGCGGGGGAGGAGAGGGAGGAGGGGGAGGGAGCCAGCGCTGGGGGAAGGGCGAGGGTGGGGCGCCGCAGCAGGATGCGGATGGGGGGACGGGGGAGGGACGAGGAGGTGGTGCGGAGGGGTTGGGGGGCTGCGCATGCTCTGTCAGCGGGGGAAGCAGGGGCGCACGGCGGGGCAGTAGGGGGGACGGAGGAAGGAGCAGATGGATTGGAGCGAGATGATCAAGAAGCAGGGCTAGGGGGGCACGGGCTAGGGTTAGGGTTAGGGTTAGAGGGAGCAGCGTGGGAGTGGTTAGGGCTTGGTGGATGGCCCACTCGGCCTCGCAGCAGGCGGGGTCAAACAGGTCAAATAGGTCAAGCTGGCCAAACGGGTCAACGGAGTCAACGCAGTCAACGACCATCTGCTGCCACAGCCGCTGCTCCGCCTGCTGAGGCGGGTGGGGCAGCTATGGGGCAGTCAACAGCGGGGGGGGTCTGCGCCAGTGGGCGCGCCCCAGCAAGCACAGCCCTTGGCGCTGGCCCACACCCGCCCAGCCCGCGCCATCTCCGCTCCTCCCCCATTGCTTCCGCCCCCGCTTCCCCGGTTGCGCGGGCTAGAGGGGCGCAAGGGGGGGCGCAGCCGGCGGAGGAGGGAAGGGGGAGGAGAGTGAGCGCGCGGCGGGGCGGTGGCCGCCAGGCAGCACCTCTGCAGGCGAAGGTAGAACCGGGGGAGGCGTCTTTTGAGTCTGCTGCTGTGGCTGCAGCAGTGACTGGCGCTGCTGGTGCTGCAGCAGGGGGAGCGGCGGTTGGAGGCGTGTCTGCTGCTCCAGTTGTGGAGGCATTTGTGGGAAGGGCTGCACGGAGTGGGAGTGAGGCGCAGCCGGTGGCGCAGCAGCAGGGCGGAGAGGCTACGGAGCGGGGGACAGGGGGAGGAAAGAGGCGGAGATTGCAGTCCGGGTGGCGGGCAATGGGGGAAGGGAGAGTGAAGCGGGAGGGGGAGGGACGAGGAGAGGCTGAAGAGGCAGATGGAATTGGGGAGGGGGGTGAGTATATAGCAGCAGATGGTGCAGGGGAGGGTGGAGGAGACGAGGCGAGATCAGAGCGAATGAGTGATGACGCGGACGACTCTGGTGCTTCAGGGGCTGATTATGCCGAAGATGCTGCAGTGGGTGCACACGCAGATGGTGGTGCTGCCGCTGCCAGCGCTGCTGCGGATGCGCGTGCGTCTGTGGACGGCGCTGGAGGAGGGGAGTGGAAGGAGGCGGGGAGCAGGGTCGCACGTGGAAAGGGCGTGAGGGCGGGACGAGGAAGAGGCAGAGGCAGAGGGCGAGGCAGATGGAAGGTGGAGGGACGGCTGGGAAGGGACGTGCCAGGGAGAAGGGCGAGGAGTAGGGAGAAAGGGGCTGTTGGAGAAGCTAGGTTGAAAAGCCGTGTGGGTGGAGAAACAGAAGCAGGAGAGGAAGAAGAAACTGGCTGGGCGAGTGAGCTGAGGGAAGGGAAGGGAGCAGAGGAGGAGAGAGTGGGGGAGGAGAGAGGGCAGTCAGAAGGAGCGAGGGAGGTGCAAGAGATCAGTGCCGGGCGAAATGGGATGGAAGGGGAAAGTAGGGGCAGGGGTGAGGCAGGCGAAGGGGCAAGTGAGGTAGAGCAAGGGAGAGTGGGTGAAAGGGAGGGCGTGAGCGGGGCCGTGGCCCCTTCGGAGTCAAGGCAGCTGAGGCTGCAGCGACGGCAGATGATTCAGAAGCAGTGGGAGGAGCGCCAGCGGATGCAGCAGCAGGTTCGGCAGGCAGAGGCTCGGCGGAAACAGGCTCGGCAAACACAGGGGGAGCAAGTGCAGGCTCGGGTGGGGCGGCAAGAGGCAGAGGAGGAGCGGGTGGAGCCCCAGGGTGGGGCTGTGGTGGAGAGGTCAGCGTGTGCAGAGGAGGGCGAGACGAGGGGGGGAAGAGACGGGGGAGAGGCGGGAGAAGCGGGACAAGGGGGAGGAGCAAGAGAAGCCGGAGAAAGGGGAGAAGGGGAAGAAGGAGCTGAAATGCAGGATCTGAGAGTGAGCAGTGGAGGGGAAGACGCGGAGATGGAGGTGCATGGAGGGGCAATGGGGGCCGGCATGGCGGCAGGACGGGGAAGCGCAGGAAGTGTGGGAAGAGGAGGGGGAGAAGGTGAGCAACAAGGAGACGGGGAGGCGTGTTTGGAGGATAGGGGTGAGGGTGAACGACCGATGATGGCTGGTAGCGCAGCGGCAGGAGGGGCGAGGCAGAGGCATGTGGGGGAGGGGGAGGAGCAAGAGCAGCAGCAGAGAAGCAAGGGTGAGAAGGGGTGGCAGGTCGAGTGTGTGGGTGACGAGAGGCACTTGGCGGATGGGCGTGGGCGTGCTCTTAGACACACGGACGAGGCAGAGGTTATGGAAATGGGGATGACTAGAGAAGGTGATGCGGAACCCTCTAAGGTGGTAAATGAAACGGTAGATGAAACGCATGTACAGTTACAGGCACTGACACAGACTGAGGAGCTGACAGATGCTAGGGATCAGACACGTGTAGGTGGGGCGGGTGGGGCAGGGGCACGGATTGAGTCCCAAGCAAGTGAGGTTGCACATGTACAGGTGGTACACGCTGACGTGGCACAGGCTGACCTGGCACTGGCTGAGTTGGCTAAAGCTGATGCAGAGAGGGTTAGGCACGACGAGGGAAAGGCGGGGCCCTGCGTTGAGGTGCTGCCGAGGAATGGAGTGCAGAAGAAGGGAGCGGAGAGGGAGGGAGTGGGAAGGGATGAACCGGTGAGGCAACACAAGGGGCGGAAGGCAGGCGAGCTGCAGCAGGCAGGGCGGCAGAGGCGGAGAGGGAAGGGAGGGCTTGGACTGCAGGGAGGGCAGCAGCAGGCGAAGCAGGAGCAGCAGGCGAGTGGGCAGGCTCAGGAGCAAGGCCGGGAGGACGGGCAGGCAGGGAGACAGGGGCGCGAGTTGAGTGGAGGGCAGGCGGGAGAGGAGGGAGGTGCTGAGAGGGACGGTGGCTGCAGTGGAAGAGCTGGGAGCGGCGTGCTGAGAGGGCAGGCAAGCAGTAGTCCGCAACACATGGTGACAGAGGCCCATGCTGCTGACCCCGCTCCCGCTCACACTTGTACAAACACCGCTGCTCTCACTCCTGCGGTATCCCCTCCACGTGAACTCCCACCGACCGTGCAGCTGCCTGCAGCGCAGCAGGTTGCTGAAACGAGTCCTGGCTTGGTGGTTGATGCTGGCTGGAGTGGGGCTGCGCTAGGGCAGGCGCAAGGAGGGCAGCAAGATGAGGAGGGGGCGGAGGGGTTGCAGACGCAGAGGCAAGAAGGCCTGGCGGCACAGAGGCAGGAAGAGCGTGTGAGGCAGGAAGAGGAGGGACGGAAGGAAGAGGGCAGAGACGAGGGGGCGAGAGAGGTGGTGAAGAGTAAAGAGCGAGAGGAGGGGCCAAGGGAGGTAGTGGCAGGCAGGCAGCGGGACGGACAGGGGCAGGAGGAGCAGGAGCAGCAACAGCAACAGCGAGCGCTGAAGGAGAAGCAGAGGCAGCAGCGGTTGCAGCAGAAGCGGCAGCAGATGCAGCAGAAGCAGCTGGAGCAGCGGCGGCGGCAGCAGCAGCAGTTGGAGGAGGAGATGGAGCGGCAGGCGCAGCAGGAGCTGCAGCGACAGCAGCAGTTTGGACTGGCAGGCGCGTGGCAGCAACAGGTGCTGCTGCAGCAGCAGCAGAGGGCGCTGGAGCTGCAGCAACAGCTGGAACAGCCACGACAGCAACCGCAGCAATTGCAGCAGCCACAGCAGCCGCAACAACCACAGCCGTCGCAGCAATTGCAACAAGAACAACAACAGCAACCACAGCAGCCGCAGCAGCAACAGCAGCAACTACAGCACCAGCAGCAACAGCCGCTTCAACAGCAGCAGCAGCCGCAGCAGCAGGTGCAGCAGCAGGCAGAGGAGGCGGGAGCAGCGGCCCAGCAAGTGCAGAGCATGCTGAGCGAGGCGGTGCTGCAGCAGGTGTGGCAGCAGGTGCTGCAATCGCGAGGGGCCGCCGTGGCAGCTGCGACCCTGCTGGAGCGACCGCAGCTGCTGGTTCAGCTGCTGGCCCGGCAGCAGGAGGAACGGCTGGCAGCAGCAGGGGGAGCAGGAGCAGGAGGTGCAGTAGGAGTAGGAGGAGTATCAGGAGGAGGAGGAGGAGGAGGGGGTGCAGGGGGGACACACTCGGCAGGATTCTCATTTGGTTGGGATCAGCGGCAGCAGCAGCAGCAGTTGGAGGGGGGGGCAGGCAGTGGTGGTGGTGCAGGGTGGGGCATGGGAATGGCACCAGGTGTGGGTGTGCCAACGGGTGTGGGAGTGCAAGCGAGCAGCCCTGTCACTAGCCCTCTCCGCACACCTGCTGCCTTCCCCTTTACAATCCCTGCTGCTGCTGCTGCCTTCCCGCCTGCCCCTGCTTCCTCTCGCTCCCCTCTTTCTTCTCCCCCCCCTGCCGCTGCTCCCGCTCCTGCACCTGCGCTTGCTCCTGCTGTTCCTGCTGCCCCTGTTACTGCTGCCCTTGCTACTGCTACTGCTACTGCTAATGCTTCTGCTGCGCATGCCAGTCCCAACCACGTCATCAGTGCCAGCCCACTCTCCAGCCCTCTCCGCGGCCAGCCCGCCCCTCTGCCTCCTGCCGCTGCCGTTTCCGCTGCCACTGCCAATATCTCTCCTGCTGCGGCTGCTGCTGCTGCTGGTGGTGCTGGCAGTGGTGGCAGCAAAGGGAAGGGGAAGCGAGGGGGAGGCACGGGTGGAAGCAGTGGGAAGGGAGGGAAGGGGAAAGGGCGAGAGGCAGGGGCAGGGGCACACGGGAAGAAAGCGGCACAGAGTGCAGCTGGCGCTACAGCTGGTGACTCAGTTCCTGCTTCTGGGAAAGCTGCTGCTACTGCTGTGCCTGACCGCAGCGCTACAGATGCTACAGCTGCTACAGCTGCTACAGCCGGACAGGCAAGTGCTGTGCCTGGTGAAGCAGCAGGTGCAGCTGGTAATGGGAGTGGATTAGTAAGTGGTGCAGCAGTGGGGGGTGGGAGGGGCGAGGGGAGAATGGAGGAGGCTGGCAGAGAAGTGCAAGCGGCAGCAGGAGCAGTAGGAGTGAGTGATAGAGGAGTGAGTGAGAGAGGAGGGAGAGCAGGGAGTGAGAGGGTGTTGGAGAAAGGGGTGAGTGAGAGGAGCCGCAGGAAGAGGGTGCTCAACTCGAGGTACTATGAGGGGGGGTTCCAATACGAGGGTGACTATATCGAAGGGGAGGAGGGGCAGCCGTCAGAACCAGACATGGACTGGCATCCCACTGGTGCTGACGTGGCAGCAGCTGGAAGGGGAGGACGGATGGGCCTGGGAGGTCAGAGTGGGGAGTATGCTGCCCCATTAGGGTTTACTGTAGATGCTGACGTGGCAGGCATGGCAAGAGCCGTGATGGCCTGGGGAAGGCAGCAGGTGGGGGAGGGCGCTTCTTCTCTGCCCGATGCTGTTAACACGCCTGGGGCTGGTGCTGCTGCGGCTGCTGCTTCTGGTGCTGGTGGTGCTGGTTGGGGGACAGAAGGGGAAGAGAGAGGAGCGGTTGGGGGGAAGGTAGCAGGCAGGGGGAGGGGAGTGGGGAAAGGAGACAGTGCTGCAGTTGTTGGGGGGAGGACGAAGCGGGGCAGGGTGGGCGAGGGCGGCTTGGAGGCTGATGGGGGCAGTGCAGGGGGAGAGGCGGGGGAGGGGGGTGAGCGGGGGGAAGGTGGGGATGGTTGGGTAGGGGGGGTGGAGGAGGCTGGCGGAGTAGGAGTGGTGGCATCACAGGTTGCTGTTGCTGCTGCTGCTGTTGCTTCTGTAAAGGAGAGACCTCCAGCAAAAGTGAGTGACGGTGCATTAACCGCACCGCACGGTATGGTTACGGTACAGTGTTGAATCTCGTTTGGTCCATGCAGCGGGCTGTGCGGTCGTTGCAGTCAGTAATCTAATTTTTGGGCTGAAGAGGCAGGAAAGAGTGCTGCAACCTCTGTCTGCCATGAAAGCTTTTTTCTGAACCCCTCCTGTGTGCTCTGCCCCTCTCTCCCCCCATTTTGCAGAAGAAGAAATCCGCACTGTCATCGACAGCAGCAGCACCAGCAGCAGCCGGCATGACATCCCCCCAGAGGCAGCTGTTGGCTCAGCAGCAGCAGGTGCAGCAGCGGGCGGGCGGTGTGGCGGGTGGTGGGGGCAGAGGGAAGGGTGGCGGCAGGAAGGGCGAGGCAAGGTGGTCGCGGACGCCTGCGGGCGGAGGAGGAGGAGAAGGGGCGCAGGGAGAGGAAGGAGCGGTAGCAGCAGCAGCACTGGGGGGGACAGGACCAGCAGCAGCGGCAGCAGGAGCAGCAGTGGGAGGGTTGGCAGGATCAGCAGCGGCAGCAGCGGCAGGAGCATCACCCCCAGGCGCCACCCCACCAGGGGTCAGCCTGCTGGGGGGTGCTCTGGATGGCAAGCTGCAGGAAGCTTCCTGGATGGAGCTCTCCAGCATGGTCGGCCTCTCCCCTGTCCCAGCGCTCACCCCCCTGCCTCCCGCCGCCCTTGCCGACCACCCTGCCGCCCTCTCCTGTGGTCTTGCCGCCCGGGCCCTTCCAAGTGGAAGCATGGGGAAGCAGCAAGGAGGGGGATTCGCGGACCATGGGGGTGTGGGGGGTGGGGCGAGAGGAGGAGGAGATGAAGGGTTGGGGGGGATGGCAGGCGGGGGCGGGGAGTGGGGGGGAGGAGGGGGCAGTGGGGAGAGTGGGGACGAGGTGGGGGCTCCTATGAGCCCCTCGGGTACTCCCTTGAGTCCTCCCTCCCTGCAGCAGCAGCAGCAGCGTCATGGGATGGAGAGGGGGAGTGTGGTAGCAGCTGCTGCTCCTGCAAGTGGTGGTGGGGGGGGGGTCGAAGAAGGCGGGAGGAGGGCGGGCGGAGGGGGGGAGGGGGGGGCGCGGAGGCATGGAACATCTGGGCGGGCGGGGAAGAAGGCAGCTGGTTCGGGAGCAACTGGGGTGGCAGCAGCAACAGGGCCAGCAGCAGCAGGAGCAGTACTAGCAGCAGCACCAGCAGTAGCAGCAGCGGCGGCGTTTTCTGATTTTGGAGGGGTGAGCAGCGGAGGCAGCGGGGGAGAGGGGGCGGGCGATGCGCGCATGTACACGGCGAATGGGGGGCTGAGGCGCAAGCACCACCGGCCGTGGACGCTGAGGGAGGTGATGATCCTCGTGGATGGCGTGGCGCGGTGCGGTGGGGGCAAGTGGGCCGACATCAAGAAGCTCGCCTTCTCCTCCATTGGCTACCGCACTGCCGTTGACCTCAAGGTACCGCGTTGACTGCTGTTCATTTGAGGAATTGATGCTGCGCTGGAGGTACTGTGTTGTTGACTTTAAAGGACTGCATATATGATGAATCTTTGCCTGCATCCCTAGTCCTCACTGCAGTCTCCTTCCCCTCTCGTCTGCGATACAATCCTGGCAGGACAAGTGGCGCAATCTGCTGCGTGCAAGCAGGATGGCGCTGCAGCCACCCAAAGAGGTACGATGCACGCTAGGCCCCCACATTTCCTGCCAACATGCAATATCTACCACGGCAAGCAACATGTCTCCTCTACACCCACCTTCCACGCCTCACCCTTGTGTCTCCCTGCCACCCTTGCCCTTCCCCTCCACTCCCTCTCCCTCGCCCTCCCCTTCTCCTTCTCCCCTCTCTCTCCGCCTTCGTCCTGTTATGGCTGGCGCGCGGGGCAGCAGGGCGAGCAGCGCAAGAAGCAGGTGTCGGCGTCCATCCCGCCCGCCGTGCTGGCGCGCGTGAGGGAGCTCGCCCAGCAGCAGGAGGCGCAGGCGCACCTCAAGCTGCACGCCAGCACTGCCGGGGGGGGCGCAGGGGGGGCAGCAGCGACGGGCGGAGGGGCAGGGGGAGGGGGAAGTTCGGGGGAAGGGGGATCAGGGGAAGGAGGAGGAACAGGGGGAGGAGGGGGAGCAGAGAAAGGTGGGATGACTGGGGCAGGGGCGGGAGGCAAGGAAGGGGAAGGTGAGGGACATGGGGCTGCTGCTGCTGCTGCTGCTGCTGCTGCTGGAAGGGTTGGAGGGGTCGCGACTGAACCTCAAGCACCTCCCCCTTATTCATCCACACCAGCTGCCTGCACCCCTCTCAGCGCTCCCCTGCACCGCCTCACCTCCCCCCCCTTTCCCTCTGCCTTCCCTTCCACTCTCTCCCACCCCCCCTCTCCTGCCTCCGCCCTGCCAAACCTGTTTCCTGCGCCTCACTTTGGCCCGGACCGGACGTCTGCGGAGGAGGAGCACGGAGGGTCGGGGGATGGGGGGGAGGAGATGGCAGGTGGGGGAGAAGGAGGGGAAGAGGGCTTTGGAGAGGGAGTGGACGAGGGAGAGTTAGAGGGGGAGGGGGAGGGGGAGGTGCAGCAGGGGTGTGAGGAGGACGAGGAGCTGATAGGGCTGGCAGAGAGCTTCAGGAGCAGCGCGGACGTTATGGACCTGCCCTCGTGGGCTTGAAGAGCCGTGCTGCTGGTATCATGGGCTTGATGTGATGCCATGGACCTGCCCTCGTGGGCGTGATGGGATGCCATGGAGCCATGGGCAGGACTGTGAGTCTGCATGGCTGGATTGGAATGCATGAGGGGCAAGGGCAGTGGCCAGTAAGTATGCTGAATACCACACTCCTCCGCACCGCACCGTACCTCATCAACATTCACTAATAAGTCGGCACCAGCTCCCCCACGCACCGACAGCATCCCATGGTAAGATGAAGGGCGTTGTTGGGGAGGGGACACTTGCGGCCTACGCAATGAATATGTGCAGTAGCCTATAATTGGCTATTTTGCGCCACTAACACAGACCTTATTATAAAGGGTATAGCTTCAATATCTACAACATTATTCATATGGGTAGCGGTGGGTTACTGGTAACTGCAAGGGTAGGAATTTGCCACTGTTCTTTTCTTATCTGGCCTGTACAGTTAGTCCTAGGAATGCGTTGAACCTGTTTAGTCATGTTTTAGAAGTTATAAAATGCTGACGTCCTTGTTTCATCTGGGATTCCGCTTCCCTTTCATTGAAATGTATCGGGTCCAGCACCCGTGCAACCAATCGAGCCCTATAACGCGGAAAAGTAAATATTCAAGCAGGCACTCAACCTAGAAATTGCCGAGCACCACAGCAAACTGCCATTCCGCCACTCGCGGGCAGTGCGACAATAGCGCTTGCTCGCTTCGTCGCAGCGTGTATTAGTGTTGTCACGCACCGTAGAAGCAGACTCACCTTGAGCAACGTAGGAATTCACTCACCCGCTGTTCCACACCTGCCAGGAAGCCACGAGCAGCAGCGTTTTTCACGGATAGGACCATTCGGTTGGGTTTGCAACTCCCGCGTCGGTCCGCTGCCTGACCGGAATCTTTTTGACTCAGCTGGTCGGCGGGCCGTCGCAGGCATGGCGGGGTCGCTGTCGGGCGACGAGCTGGCGAACGGCAAGGCGCTGGTGCCGTTCCTGCAGCGCGCCGATGAGCTGCAGAAACACGACCCGCTCGTCGCTTACTACTGTACGCGCGTTAAAGTCCCAAGTAAAGATATCATGAAATAAAATCTGAACAAAAAGGAGAAAGCAGCAGAAAACCTAACGATTGGAGTGCGCGCGCGTGGCAGGTCGGCTGTACGCGATGGACAAGGGGCTGCGCGTGCCCAGCAAGGAGCGCAGCGCGGCCGTGAACGCGCTGCTCGTCTCCATCATGAGCCGCCTCGAAAAGGTACGCCCGCCTCGGGAAGGAACGTAGCACGTCGTGCAGCGTCTGGGCCTCATGCCACCCGCCTCTCCCTTCCCTCTCCCTCGTGTTTCCACCAATGCCCGTCACATTCACTGCGCCATGTCTCCCCTGCCCTCGGACGCCCCTCCTCATGCTGCACAGCTTCTCTTTGCTTCTGCGCCGCTGCCCTGTGCGATGTGCGCCGCTGCCCTGTGCCATGTGCGCCGCTGCCCTGTGCCATGTGCGCCGCTGCCCTGTGCCATGTGCGCCGCTGCCCTGTGCCATGTGCACCGCTGCCCTGTGCCATGTGCGCCTCCCGCATCATCTGCTCCGCAGGACAAGGCGGCGCTGCAGCTGTCGCCGGACGGCGGGCTGCAGCGTCTCCTTTCCATCCCTCCGCCCTGGTTCAATCGTTGATGCACCTTGCCTGCCACATGCTCCTGCCTGGCAGGACAAAGGCGGTGCTGCAGCTGTCCCCAGTCGACAGATTGCACGTGGAGGGAGGGAATTTCTCCCTTGTCTCCCCGTCCTGTTTCAATCGTCAATGCACCTTGCCAACCCCTCGCACCCCTCCCTCTGTTCCTCCGCCCGGCAGGACAAGGTGGCGCTGCAGCTGTCGCCGGACGACGGGCTGCACGTGGAGGGATTCGCGCAGCGCGTGTTCAGCAAGGCGGACAAGCAGGACCGCGCCAGCCGCGCTGACATGTGCGTTTTCTCGCATGGCTCCCCGTGGGGTGATGTGGGGTGCTGCTGCTGGCGCTGCGGCTCATTGGATGGGAGAAGGGGAATGGGGGAGGGTGGGGGGGGAGGAAGTGTGTGGTAGGGGCGATGAGTGGGATGAGTGCGTGCCACTGCTATGCGGGGCGGGGACGTTGTTGGTGCGTGTGCCACTCCCAGCACACACCACTACGAGCTCCGCGCATTAAGCCTTCCAACCCGCCCTCCACACTCATACCACACGCCCTGTCACTTCCACTCATCACACGCACAGCACCCCTTATCCCAACCTTCCTCCTTTCCCTCCTTCCCTTCCCCCCCCCCTGCTTCCCCCCCGTGTCCCCCAGGGGCACGGCCAAGACGTTCTACGCGGCGGGGATATTTTTTGAAGTGTGCCGCCAGTTTGGGGAGCTTGCCCCTGAGGTACCCGCCCACCTGCACTGAACTTCCCCTCGCTCGTCTTGGACCCTTGAGGAAGTGGTCTTCTTGCCTCTCGGATGCAGTCACCCGGTCGTGATGCATGCAACCCTTGCGCACACTCTAGCCTCCCTCATCCCCACCTGCTTTTTCCCCTCTCTCCCTCCCTCCCCAGTTTCCTCCTTTGCCACAGATTCTCCTCCTTTGCCACAGATTCTCCTCCTTTGCCACAGATTCTCCTCCTTTGCCACAGATTCTCCTCCTTTGCCACAGATTCTCCTCCTTTGCCACAGATTCTCCTCCTTTGCCACAGATTCTCCTCCTTTGCCACAGATTCTCCTCCTTTGCCACAGATTCTCCTCCTTTGCCACAGATTCTCCTCCGTGCCCTCGCCCCTCCCGCTTCCCTCCACCTCATTCCCCTCTCCCCCTTCCCCCCTCTTCCCGTCTCTCCTTCTCCACCTCTCTCTCCCACTCTTTCCTTTCCCCTCTCATCACCTCGCCCCCTCGCCTGTTCGCCCGGCAGGTGGAGCAGAAGCAGCGCTACGCGGTGTGGAAGGCGGCGGACATCCGCAGGGCGCTGGCGGACGGCAGGCGCCCCACGCCCGGCCCGCCAGGGGGGTGACGCTGATGCCGCCGCTGCTGCTCCCCGCCGATGCTACCGCGGCTGCATCAGTCCTTGCCGTGGCCCCGCCTGCAGCGCCCTCGTTCCCCTCAGCCGACTCCCTGGATGCCATGTTCTCTGGCCCTCCTCCTCCCAGCGCCTATGGTGCCAACACTGCCCCAGCTGCCCCTGGTGGCACCAGTGCCACGGGTGGTTCCGGCAGGCTGCAGGTAGCAAGGCCAGTGGGAGGTGGCAGCGCTGCCATGCAGCCCAACCCTCATGGCCAAGCGAATCCGTATTACCAGGGCCATGGGGATTACTCGCAAGCACCCCAGGGGCAGGCAGCACAGGCGGCACAGGCGTCTCAGGCGTCGCAGGCATGGCAGCAGAGCACGCCTCAGCAAGACAGTGCGTTCATCACCTCCCTTGCCGGCGCCCCTCCTGCCTCCGCTCCTTCCCTGCCCTCCGCCCCCTCATTTACCTCACCACCAACTTTCACCCACTGGACTCCTGACTCTCAGTACCCCTCTGCTGCGCCACAATCCACTGCCGCTCCCTCGATCCAGTCAGCCCAGGGAGCAGACGGATGGGTCCATCCTGCTGCAGCGCCGGCCTACCAGCAGGCACAGGCAGCAGCAGCAGCCGCAGCCGTAGGCGCAGGTGCATTCACAAACCCCATGTTCGCCACCCCGCCTGCCCCAATGTCGCCCTGGTTCTGCCCCTGCGTCCACTGCGGCTGCTGCTGGCCCAGCATTTTCCTTCATGCCAGGCGGTGCTGCTGCTGCCAGCCCAGGCGTGGGGGCAGCAGGGGGTGCCTCTGGGGCACACCCATTGCAGGCGTCTCCACATTCAGGGTACGGTGGAGGTGGTGGGGGTGTGGCGTCAGGCGGAGGAGCAAGAGCAGGGCAGAATGTTGCAGCAGCAGCAAATGGGTCTACAGCGATGGGCAGCTTCTCAAGCTCTCAAGGCCCAGGGCCTCGTGAGATAGCGGATGCGCACAAGGCGGCTCGATATGCCGTGAGTGCGCTTGCGGGTAGTGATGTTCCAACCGCTGTTGATTTTATTAGAAAGGCCTTGGCTTTGCTGGAGCCCAGTGGTGGCTATTAGAGGCTATTAGAGTGTAGAATACGTGTTTGATTTGATGTTATAAGCTTCAGTCATTTTGTGTGAAGCAACGTAGCGTAAAGCGCGCACCATAGCGCGGGCTGGCAAGGATGGGCTGGTCCAGTGGGACTGTGATCCAAAGGACAGCTGTTGCGCAGCTGTGTGTTTGTCAATGGACCAACGAGCGACACGATGTGGCGCTTGTGCTCAACGAATAGAAATTGTTTGCGGCGCGGCTGCCTTTGTTACTTCACTACGTGCCACTCATCACCACAGGCCACAGGGTCAAAGGCTGACTCTGTTCAGGTGTTGCTGGAGTGCGCTCGCCATGCCCCGAATATTTTTATTGTTTTACTTTTCCGGATCTCCTCCTCCACGAACTCCACCTAAGGACTTGGCCTAGACCGCCTCTGATTGCCTCGATCAGAGGCGATCAATAACTTCCAGGAAGCCCCTATGCCGATTTCAGGCAATCAGGGGCAATCAACTGATCGCGATCAATTGATCGCCCCAACTCAATCAACCGCCTCAAACACCCCAATCAATCACGATCACACACAATCAGTCACGATCAGTTGATTGCATGGGATGGGGATCCTTGCGACGCTTGCGAAAAAAATTACAGTTTCTCGTTGAGATCGTCACACAATCGCGCAAACATTAACTTAAGTGTAATTTGCGAGATTACGTGGAAACAGAAAATTCGCAACGTCTTCGCACTCGCCAAAATTGGGACGAAAGAATCAGGAAATGCTGACACGCTTGCGAGGCAGGCGCCTTGAGTTTTCCAGGAATATCAGCACTGATCGGGCGGCGCGAGCAATGCAATCAGAAGCAACCCGATCAGATCCAACCCGATCAGATCAGCGCCGATCAGAGGCGGTCTGGGCCACGTCCTAAATCAAGTGCACTTGAATAGCCCAACCTGTGAAGTGATCTCTCAGTCTGGCACTTCGAGTGAGTACGAGTGCCCACGCAACACCCATTCATCAATGGAACACATCTCTCAACGTTCCAACCACAAATCTTCCCAAAAAGTTCCTTGTGCGGTTGCGTACTCTTTCCAAAAACGGTGGTACTGTAGCATCACCCAGATTTGGGTTGGGTAGTTCCTTCCTCCAGACCTCGTGAATTCCAAGGGTCTTTTCATAAATAACATGTTTTGATCTAAGCGGTTTGCTTCAAACCGCGTGAATTCATACAACCTTTGACTTCTGTGTAATGCGTGCATCTGGTATGGAGAGAAATGGAAATTCAGAGCTGTAGCTAACACCCTCACTTCTTCCACTTGCATGTCGCTTCACTCTGGGAGGCATCTTGCACAGTTTACAGTGCTCCACACCTGACCAGATTCTCCACAAACAGTGCTCCACTGTGTGCTCTCCCCTCCCCCTCAGTTGTGAACACACTGTACGCATGTCTGCATTGTGGTGGGGCTGATGGTCTTTGGCATCATACTTCCCATCCACACTGAAATCGTCAGTTTCCTTAGTTTCCGAATAGAGTTGACCAATTAGGCATGGCAGAAACCGAGGCCTCGCCGCATATCACGGCGTCGCTCGACGCGTATGTGTTGCGACCGTTGCAGCGCGCTTCGTCCATCATGGGGTCGGGGGATCTTTGGCAACGCGCCGCCGACATGGATGAAGTCGTCGCGGCGCACGGCTGCTCTGTTGCGAGCACCGCTGCGACGACGACGAACGAAGGGGCTGCGACAGGAAAGAAGTGGAGCGTGATGGGGTCGACTGCGCGCAAGGTGCAGCGGATGCTGTTTGCGGACAAATCGGACAAATCGGCGGCTTCTATCGCAGACAGAAAGAACAAGCGCCTGCTGCCGTCGCTGCTCTCGAGCGCTCGCCGTCAGGAGCGCGCCGAACAGGACTTGAGTTTGCGGGTCGGCAGCTGTCGCGTGGAGAGCGCCGAGAGCGTTGCGGACGATGGCGGAGAGGACGGCGCGGACCTCTACCGACGAAGCGCCTCGTTTCAGCACTTGGCGGTCGATTCTTATCATGGCGAAATGGCTGGACGGGAGGCGACGAGCGTGGACGAGCGAGAGGATTCGGAACCCGGCGGCGCGGATCCAAATCGCCGTGCTGATTGTGATCTTCCAGAGGGGCGTGCGGAAGGCGTCGATTTCATTTCGTTGTCCCCGCGCGCGACGAGTGCGACGAATGCGACGGGTGTACCAGAGGGCGTAGACCGACCGTGTTCTGTAAATAAGCACTCAGCATCGCCGCCCGAATCAAACAGCTCACGCGACAGAATCGTATCGGCGCCGCCTCGTCCCGTGCGCCCGCAGACAGCCCCAGCAAGAGCGCCGCTTCCCCCCGTTACTTCGACGCGCGTGATCCCATTTTTTCCCGACGCAAGACCGCGCCAGTAGCCCCTGCCGTGCTGCGCGAATCGGGTGCTGCCTCGGGCGAGCTCAAGCCGCAGCTCGCCGACGAGCCGCTTTCTCGCCTCCGCCTCGGATTGGTCAAGCGCCGCGCTTTCCCTTGTTGCGCCCCCCCCCTCCACCCATTGACACGCCCCCCGCGCTACCGTTACCATCCCCTGTCGTTCCCCGGCCCCCCAGCAGCGACGGAGTGGGGAACAGAAGCGGCAGGTTGAGGGCGGGAAGGGGGCGCGCGGGGCGGAAGGGCGGGGGAAGGGCTTCGAGTGGATGTGGCAGGCAGGCGCCAGCGGTCAAGGCACAGTGATGAGCTGGCATGGGCGGAGGCGCTAGGGGGGCAGGGGCTGGTGCGGAGCAAGACAGCGGAGAGAGATGCGGGCGCGAGGGGGCGTACAGGCGGGGAAGTGGCTCGTGTGGGGCGACATCACCACCTGTCGGCCTCTTGGGACTGCGAGGGGGAGATTGGCATGGGGAGGGAAGACAAGGGGGCGTTCCCTGTTAGGGTTGAGAGCTTGGACGAAGCAAGTTGGGGGAGTGTTTCGGGGAGGGAAAGGCCAACCTCATCGGGAGGAAGGGTGCCTATCACTGCGGTGAGCCCTCGGGTGGTGAGGTTCAATTTCAAGCAGCACATGCAGCAAGTAGCACTCGCTGCAGCACGTGATGAATTGGCCCAATAGGTGTGATAAATGATTATCCAGCGCGTTTGCTCTACGTGTTGCTAGCTGTCCGTAGTAGCATATGTTTCTCTATGTAAGAATCATTTTAGGTGAAAATAGGGCCAATTTTTGTAACAATGCTTACAACCCGAGGTGCTTCGCCACAACAGCGATCAGATCAAACATCGTGTGGAGGAAGCCAGAATCCTCGCCAAACCCAAGTCTGTCGCATAGTTCGTCAAGGTCGCAACCCACCGGGTGCTCCCGCAATCGAACGGTTGAACGTCATTCGCCGCAATTGAAACGATCACAGCTTTCCGTTCGTTAGTCCTCCCCTCCAAGTTCCATCCATCTCGAGCGTCCCTCGATTCTACTTCAGTTGCTCTGCTCGCATTCGTTCCGATTGCCGGCGAGTTCAAGGGCTGGAACGACGAGCTGAAGCAGATCCATATATTTCTTGCGAGGCTGGTCAGGTCATTGATAATGCTTCGGGAGAATAAAGCAGCAGCAGCTGTGTCAAAGCCGTGATCCATATTGTATTTTGAGCATCATAGCATTGGCAAATAACTCAAGATGATTTTTTCAAGGTGCCTAGCCTGAGCGTTTGTGTGCTGCGTCAGTTGGTCCAGTACCATGATCCCAACCATGCTCTCTGCATAACCAACCCTGCTCGCTCCAGCGCTAGGACCTAGAAGTCTAGCACGCGAAAGTAACGCGCGTTGCCGCGCTGATGAACGGCCGCGAGGAAGCCTCGAGGACTTGAGCGTCGCGTCGCCGTGCTCGCCCGGCGCCGACTACCACTCCGCGCCCGAGCTCAGAGGCCGCGCTTCCACGCCCGCCTCTGCGCCGAGCACTAGCGCGAGAATCCACGTATTTGGACGGTTTGGGAGCCCGACAGGTTGGAGAATGACCGGTTGGAGACTGACCGGTTGGAAAACAGCCGGTTGGAGCCCGGCAGCTGGCAGCTTGAGCGACGGGGAAGGAAGCGAGTCGCAGGCTTTCCTCTCCGCGTGGTCGCCCGCCGCAGTGAGTGATCCTGTCGCCTCCGCTTCGCGAGTCGTTAGACATGGCGTGCCCGCGATTTCTCAACAGCCGTATTTGTTCACGTGGCCGGACACTTGTCATGGTTTAGGATGGGTGGCGTGCTGTGCTGTGCTGTTTTGGGCTGAAATCTCAAGTGTTAGAAGCTTTAACGTGCAATCCTTCGCCTGAAACATTTCAAACCGCGAATACAATCCGAACCCCTCACGCGTCCAGCGCAGGACGAGGCGATGACTCGCGGGCCGTATCGTCGTGGTCACAGTCGCGCAAGTCCCGGCCGTCGCACGGCACGCGCGGAGCAGTAGCTGGGGAGGCAGCGGGTGGGAGGGCAGCGGGTGGATATGCAGCGCGTTTGGAATCCCAGCGGAGCGGCATGCTGTTTGGTGGAGCCGTGCCGCGCCATCTGCTCGCCCAAGTTCTTTTGGCAGGTCACGTGCCTCCTAACATGGCCCTCATATGATTGCCCTCCTAACATTGGGAATGGGGTTGGCGCGATTTGTGCTGCAAGGCAAGGATGGGGGCTTGTTCCTCATGCGCCGTCTCCCCCTCCATCCCCCTCTCTTCCCCCCTCTCCCCCCTCCTTCCCCCTCTCTCCCCCCCTCCTCCCCGTTACTCCCCCTCCTGCCGCTCGCTCGGTGCAGCGCAGGTGGCGTCAGTGGCGCAGTGGTGCACATTCAACATTATCATGATCCTCGTCAACAACGAGATCTTCCAGGTGCCACCCCACCCCGCCACTCACCTCACTCCCCTCCCCTCCATCACTTCTTGTTTGCATGCCTGTCGTGTCTGCCTCTCCACTGTACCCCGCCTCATTTCCCTCCGCCCCTCGGCCCCTCATTCCCCGCTGCCCCGTGTCTCTCTGCCCCGCTGGCGCCCCGCACCCCCGCCCCCCCTGGCCTGATCCCCCACCTGCAGCGGTACGGCTTTGCCTTCCCGCTCACGCTCACCGCCATCCACTTCGCGCTCTCATTCGTCGGCGCCTTCACGGCTATTGAGGTCAGTCGTGCCTCCCGCGCCCCCTCCTTCCACTCGCTCATTCCATTTGACCTACGCCACTCCCATTAGACCCCACACATCACTCGCCTCTCACAGCCTCTCGCCTCGTGCCCCTGCCCCCACGGCCCCCACCTCCCATCGTGTCCATCCTGCGTTCGCCCCTCTTCCGTGGGCCCCAGGGCGGCAGTCCAGGCGCAGGCCATGCTTGCCGCGGGTCATGCCATGCCACCCAACACGATTCCCGAGTCCATTCAACTCAAATATTACCGCCAATCTCCACCCCTCCCCTGCTGTGCCATCACCCCGTTGACCATCGCGTGGCACCCCACGCGGAGCAGATCCTGCAGGTGTGTCCCAAGGCGGAGGTGGAGGCGGGGGAGATGGTGGCGTGGGTGATGCCCATGGCGGTCGTCACCTGCTTCAACGTGGTGCTCGGCCAGCTCTCCCTGCGCTACGTGCCGCTGCCCGCCCTCCTCTCCACCAAGGCCCTCTCGCCCGGCCTCACAGGTGCGCTGTGCGCATCACTCCATGCCAAGCGCGCTCAATTCTCACGGGTTATGTGCCCTTCCACATTTCACCTCCCTCCCTTTCCCCGTCCCAGACCTCCAACCCCTAACTTCCCTCTCCTCTCCTCCCTCCCCCCACCCCCCCCCGCCCCGCTCGCGCAGTGGCTATCCAGGCGCTGGCGCTACAGGCGGAGTACGACTGGCGGCTGTGCCTCTCGCTGCTGCCGGTGATGGCGGGGGCCATGCTGGCCTACGCGCCCTCCGTGCACTTCGCGCTGCCCACGTTCCTGTCGGCGCTGTGCTGTGTGGTGCTGGGCTGTGCCACTGTCATCTGTGCCGAGGTGCTGCTCAAAGGCAAGCAGTACAGCCTCGACTCCCTCAACGCCGTGAGCCCTCACCCCCCTATCTCCCACCTCGCCACCCCCTGACTTCCCTCTCGTCTCCTCCTCGTCCTTGCACCTGATGATGGTTTAGTTGACTTTACAATCGCCAAGGTGCTGCGCATATAGAAGCACTACCGCCTCGAATCCATCAGCACCGTCAGCCCCCAACCTTAGAAAAGGGAAGCTCCTTGCGTCTTCCCTCACTCATCGACCTCTCTCTCTCCTCCACTCTTCCCTCTTTGTCTCCCCTTCCCCTCTTCTCTTGGTTTCCCGCTTCCTTACCCCCTCCATTCCGCCCTTTCCTGTTTTCATCGTTGTCAGCTGTACCAGCTGGTGCCGTACTCGGCGCTCATTCTTGCGCCACCAGCAGCAGTGCTGGAGGGGTGGCAGCTGTGGGGGTGGTTCATGGCTCAGGCCAACCCTGGCCCGCTGTCATCGCCATCCTCATTAGTGGCTGCTTTGCTTTCTGCCTCAACTTCTCCCTCTTCTACACGATTCAAAAGACCAGGTAAGTCGCCCCTTCCAGCAGCCTCTCTGCAGCTTTGCATGCCACCACCACCGTCACTCCTCGGCACCGTGTGCACTTGAATGCCCCATGCCCTTGACCTCCAGCGTGTGCAAACCGTGCAAGTCACGCATTGTCTCATATTCCCCCAGCAACCCGAAAACTCATGCTGCCTTCCCTGCTCCATGGCGTATATGCATCCATACCTTTTTCCCAATCCCTCACCCCCCTCCCACGGCTTGCGCCCGCACCAATGGCCCCGGCCCCATGGCAGTGCGCTGACGTTCAACGTGGCGGGCAATCTGAAGCTGGTGATAACTCTCATCTTCTCCTGGCTGCTCTTCCGCACGCCCATGGCCCCCATCAGCCTGCTCGGCTGCCTGCTGGAGCTCGTAGGCGTGGTGTGCTACGGCTGGGCGATCTTTTCCATGCGCAAGCAACAGGTGGAGCTTTTGAGATCGCCCTCTGCGCAGGTTAGGGTGGAGCAGGAGGCTAGTGACGACATTGTGCAGGTGTACCTAGGAGCCATGCTGTAACAGTTGCTGATATGTAAATTCTCGGCTTCTCAATTCTGTAGAATACTAAGCTGTGGTCTATGATATGCCGTACATTTGTAAGGTGTATAGCCGAATGGGAAGCACTGACCCCCTTAGGCGGAGATATCCTCATTCAAACGTCACTTGTTAGCAACGATACCGCACGCACGAGCCATACAGTGCAGCACACAAGCTTTCAGAAGAAGTTGCGGTTACACGGCAGCGGGTGCCAACCCTGGCATCGCTTGTCGTGCCCATGCCGACTGCCACCGACTGCAAAACGGACAAGCGGCTCACATTGCTGACTGCATTTGCCGCGTGAGGCGCTGGCGAATGACATTCGGCAGACGGAAGTTACAGGAGTGCTTGTCGCTTGTCGCGCGTGGTGCGCCATTGGCCTTTCGTTGCGTCGCACCTTCCAGGGTAGCATGGACACGCACAGCGCGCCGAGCACGACCTCCGCATAGCATGGCACAGAATGGTACAGGACAGTCAGCCAGAAGCATGCGGGTGTCGGTTGCTAGTCAAGGAACTTCTTCGCGCGGATGAGATGTGTGTTGAAATTGGGGAAACAGACGCACTCTTCGTCCTCATCTCTGGTGAACGGAAACTGGCGCTCTTGAGTTTCCTTCCCATTCTTCCATACAGATCAAGTTGCTATTGTCAGAAGCTAGCTGAGTGTCTCAACGCTACAGATGGCCTCCGCGGATGTGATACGCATTAGCGAGTGCAAGGCGGCAGTCGTTGCTAGGCTTCGGAATCTCGACGCCGCGGAATGGGGAATGCTGTGGGAGAACGCGGCGGCGGCGGACGAGGAGGAGGAGGAAGAGCCGTTGGAGCAAGTGCCGCACAGCGCGCCGTTTTCTCTGTCAAGCCCCATGACAGGGGCTGCTGGGGCGATCAGTGCGAGGCGGAGCTGGGCGTGGCGCGAGAAGATGAGGTCGTTCGGTCGACAATTAATGCCGCGGCGCGGCAGCTGCGACGACCTGAACGTCGCAATTGCGACGGCTTCTGTAACGCCGGCGAAGCGAGCGAAATCGTTTCCAGAGTCGAAGGAGCGCGGCAACGAGAAGGGCGCGAGGCGCGGGCGGTCGCGCGCGGACAGCCGGGGCGTGTGGCGGAGCGTGTACGAGCCGCGGTGGCTGGAGGAAGGGCTGGCGGAAACCTCTGGGGACGACGAGCGGCGACCGCACGGCGCAAATCGCGACGAAATGGGAGTGCGCAACGACACGGCGCAGCGCGCGCGGGAATCAGGGTTCGCGGGCAGGGAGGGTTCGGCGCGCTACCAGCTGTTGCGACATAACTCGCTTCCCTGCGCGTGTGCCTCGCAAAAGGTTTCGCCGACCCTGCCGCGACGCGCGTCGGTGATGCATGGCGATAGCAGCGCTGAGCGTTCTGCGTGTTCCGTCGCAGCAGCGAAGGATCGGCCGTCGTCGTCGTCATCGTCTCAGCACAGGCGCTCCCCGTCTTTGCTCGTCATCCCCCCATTCCTCCCCTCCTGCCTCCCCGCCCTCGCCCAGTGCCGCTCCTTGGCGCACTGCCCCCTCCACGCCGCCAACCCCCATCCCGTGCTCCGCGGTGACTCCGCCGCCCCTTCGGAATGCAGCCCCACCGGCGGAGACGCCGGTGTCTGCTCGCCTGCCGATTCCAATGACAGCAGCGGCGGGAGGCGGAACACCGGAGCAAAGCGAGCGGATGGGCGCACGTCGCGAAGAAGCCCCGCGGAAGGGTGGACTCTTTCGAGCGGCACACCAACAGAGGGCGGACAATCGAGCGCGAAATGGCGATCCGGTGAAAGAGGATGGCGGCATAACATTCTGAATGCGTTGAGTAGCCCGAGGAAGCACGCGAAGGACGTGTGACGGCTGTTCGCTTGCCGCACGGGTCTCATGAGTCGCGACTCGAATTACTGAAGGACGATGCCAGATTGGCATGGCAAAGCATCAGATGCCCCAATAAATGAATCCGCGAATATTGATAAGTATCTTGTCAGTTGTTCCGTAACGCATGTCTATGTACATCAAATACTGTACATGATTGTACCATAATAATAACAAATTGTGCACCTTCATAACGAGGTTGCCAACAACTTGCGCCGCCTCATCCCAAGTAGAAATTGGAACTAAAGGTTTTGCTTTGCGCGCCTGTCGCGCGTAGCGCAACTATCACCTCACCGCAAGCCCCATTCCTCACCACAACACGAGTCTGCAGTTGTCGCTTCGTCATCGCTGCTTTCTGCCAGCGCAACTCGCGGTACAGCTCTCGCTGTATTTGCAGTAGAATGAGCGCGGCGGATTCTCGCGGGGATAGCGTAGCATGAATTGACGCCTCCTGCGCACATCCGCGCAGCACTCACCGCACTCCCCACTCCAGCCTACCGCTTCGAGCCTCGATTATGGCGACGCCGCGACTCACGGCGAGGCCGCCGTCTCCGTTCGTCCCGGCGGGCAAGAGTGGATTGTGCTGCAAGTGCCACGTGGCGCGCGTGTACGCGCTGATGGTCTTCGTCAGCCTCCTCGCGCTGCTCCTCTTCCTCTTCGTGCCCTGGGGCCGCGTCGCACGGCGCCATCCGTGCGACTGCTGGCGACGCTGTCGCCGTCGCAGAAGCAGGAACGGGGGGTCGTGTGCGAGGGAGGGGTAGGGGTCCGCAGCTCGAGCGCGGGGATTCGTTGCATTTTGGGGGGAATGGGGGGATTGCGGAGAGCGCAATGCGCATGGGCGGAGAGCAGGCGGACGTGATTCGGGAAAAGGCAGTGACCATGGCGGACGCTGCTGACGCTGTAGCGAGTAGCGAGGCTGCTTTCAAGGGAGATGAAGCATTGGCGGGGAGTGCGGGGGCGGCGGAGGAGATGGAAGAGGGGGCGGAGAGAGGAACCGATGGGGGAGAGGCGGAAGGAAAGGGGGAAGGAGGGCAGGGAGGGGAGGGCGGGGAAGGAGAGGAGGGAGGAGGAGCGGGAGGGGAGGTGCCGATGCCTCTGCGGGTGTACATGCTGCCACTGACAGGCGAACTCAATTTCCACGTGCTGCTGGTACGACCACCCGCCACTCCTCAGTATTGCACAGCACACACACCCTTCCGTCTCTCCTCCTTGTCACCAGTCCCCATGCCGCCCCATGCCATGCGCCACTGTGAGCGCCCACCATACCCACCTCCTCCCTTTCTCCCGCGCCCACCCTCCCCCCACACGCTGCCTTCCATCTCCCCCTTCTCTCCCCGCCCCGTCAACAGCAACGGTGGCGCTTTGCGAACCGGGAGCAGCTGCAGCTGCAGCACGGCATGCCGGCGGACTGGCGGTTCAAAGGCAA